TAACGTTGTTGATGAGGGGAGGAGTGTCCCCTTACATTGGTGATCAGTGGAGGAGGGTCCCCTTACATTGGTGATCGGTGGAGAAGTGTCCCCTAACATTGGTGATCAGTGGAGGAGTGTCCCCTAACATTGGTGATCGGTGGAGAAGTGTCCCCTTACATTGGTGATCGGTGGAGAAGTGTCCCCTTACATTGGTGATCGGTGGTGAAGTGTCCCCTTACATTGGTGATCAGTGGAGGAGTTCTCCCTTACATTGGTGATCGCTGGTGAAGTGTCCCCTTACATTGGTGATCGGTGTAGAAGTGTCCCCTTACATTGGTGATCAGTGGAGAAGTGTCCCCTTACATTGGTGATCGGTGGAGAAGTGTCCCCTTACATTGGTGATCGGTGGTGAAGTGTTCCCCTTACATTGGTGATCAGTGGAGAAGTGTCCCCTTATATTGGTGATTGGTGGAGGAGTGTCCCCTTACATTGGTGATTGGTGGAGGAGTGTCCCCTTACATTGGTGATTGGTGGAGGAGTGTCCCCTTACATTGGTGATCAGTGGAGAAGTGTTCCCCTTACATTGGTGATCGGTGGAGAAGTGTCCCCTTACATTGGTGATCGGTGGAGAAGTGTCCCCTTACATTGGTGATCGGTGGAGAAGTGTCCCCTTACATTACAATAGGGGCTATTGGGAAGAATTCCCCCCTTTCAGTTAACAAGATGAGTGGTTACTTACCTGAGATATAAGATGAATGAAAAGGCTCAACCAGCCCCATGACGCTGGCTCTGCCAAGTGAAATTAGTGCTGGAACTATAACTTCACCACAAGGCAGGAGATCAATCCATCATCGTTCAAGGAAACCCGAGTGACCTCTGAAGGAACCCTGGATGAGAAAGATTGCTTTAGGATCATGTGACCTATTGTCACCACCCTTAGACTACAATGTATACTATATCCTAGAATGTTTCTTATATCATATCCTAGAATGTTTCTTATATCGTATCCTAGAATGTATCTTATATCATATCCTAGAATGTATCTTATATCGTATCCTAGAATGTATCTTATATCGTATCCTAGAATGTATCTTATATCGTATCCTAGAATGTATCTTATATCGTATCCTAGAATGTATCTTATATCGTATCCTAGAATGTATCTTATATCGTATCCTAGAATGTATCTTATATTGTATCCTAGAATGTATCTTATATCGTATCCTAAAATTTCTCTTATATCGTATCACAAGATGAGTTGTATAGAATGTATCTTATATCATATCCTAGAATGTATCTTATATCATATCCTAGAATGTATCTTATATCATATCCTAGAATGTATCTTATATCGTATCCTAGAATGTATCTTATATTGTATCCTAGAATGTATCTTATATCGTATCCTCGAATGTATCTTATATTGTATCCTAACATTACAATAGGGGCTATTGGGAAGAATTCCCCCCTTTCAGTTAACAAGATGAGTGGTTACTTACCTGAGATATAAGATGAATGAAAAGGCTCAACCAGCCCCATGACGCTGCCTCTGCCAAGTGACATTAGTGCCGAAACCATAACTTCACCACAAGGCAGGAGATCAATCCATCATTGTTCAAGGAAACCCGAGTGACCTCTAAAGAAACCCTGAATGAGAAAGATTGCTTTAGGATCATGTGACCTTTTGTCACCACCCTTAGACTACAATGTATACTATAATATATCCTATATGTATCTTATATCATATCCTAGAATGTATCTTATATCATATCCTAGAATGTATCTTATATTGTATTCTAGAATATATTTCCCTCTGTAAAGCTAAAAACATTAACTGTATGAAATCCATCTACATATAAACTTAACTGTATGAGGATTTAGCCATTGAGTCTTCAACAGATCACACTCTTCCGAGAATCTCCAGCTCCTCACACATGACAGGGACACTTCCTCATTATCACTTCCTGGTGGGGGTCAGTGAGAACTTTAACTGTTTCATCCCCTTTTTAAGCTTAAAAACAAAGTAACCACAACTGGTTTTCATATCACATATAATTCTGATGAAATAACAAGAGTCAAGATTCCAGAATGATTTGGAGGGGTCCATTAGAGAGGAAGCATCAAAATGTCCTATGGGAAGAGTGCCATCTGCCATGGCAGATTGTGGGTGCGGCTTTAGTGGGTGTGGTTTGCTGTGGCACACCTTGAGCTCTCAGGTACCAACAAAAAAAAGATAATAAAACAAACTGAGAATTAACCGCAACCAAACCAGGGTTCCTCCAGAGGTTTCTAGGGGGGTTTCTAAGCTGCGGCTGATTGACTTCAGTGGTGCCGGCATAGTCCCGGGGCCAACACCACTTGGGACAACCGGCTGCATGACACCAATCATATTTTCAGGTGCCTGTACTGGTGGGATTCTGGCCACCACTGTAAGGGACATTCTTCCCAATGTCACCAATATAAGGGACATGAATTTAGTAGAGGTTCCCTGAGACCTAAAAATAACTTCAATGGTTTCACTGCTCTAAAAAGGTTGAGAAAGCCTGGACTAAAATGTTCCCACACAACATACTGTCTGCTGCTTTATGAGTCTTTGTGACCAATCATTCCACCGTGGAGGAACGCAGCGAGGATAGAAAGTCAATCAAGTAAAACATTTGCAGAGCTATTCACCCTGCAAATCTCTGTGAACGTTCATTCTGTGGAGAGACAGAAATGAATGTTCTTAGTATATTCTTAGTATATCTTCTTTTCAGGTGGAATGTAATGTAATATTGCAATGTAATGTGATGTAATGCTGCAATATGGCCACTAGATGGAGCTGAGCTTCTTTATTAGGCTCCTCAGCTCCATCTAGTGGTCCTATTGCAGTATTACATTTCATTACATTTGACCTAAAAAGAAAATACAAGGGCATTGGTTTTTGCTTTTAATCACACAGAACGAATGTTCACAGAGATTTGAATGGATTCAAATAGATGAAAATGAGGTGCAGCAAAGTACAGGCTACAGGAAAACTGGACATTCATATTAACAGAGACATAGTCACTGAAAGGGCAGGCAATTACAGTGGCTTGGCGGGATGTCATGGAGAACATGGGACACAATTGTGGGACTGTCCTGCAAATCTGGGCCACCATGTGAATTTTTTTGGCCTTAGCTAGATTCAAGCATCATATCTGCTAAGTGGCTGGGACACTCGCCTTCCAGCGCTGGGGTCCTGACGTTGTGCTCCCATCAGGGACACTGTCTGCATAGGGTTTGCATGTACTCTCGGTGCTGTGCGGGGAGTACACCCAACGTGTGTATACATTAATATGCGCACACTCGCGGAGCCGGGGGACTTTAATTTTTTTGTAATTTTCACAATTATTTAATTTAATTTTATTTGTTTACTTTTCATTTCCTTTTTAACTTAACTTGATTGATACAAGCCCTCCATGTGATAGCATACTAGTGGTGACAGGTTTTCTTTAAGATGACATTAGGGGTCTATTAGACCTCTACTGTCACCTTCCCACTCCAAAGAGGCTGTTGGAACACAGATCACATTCCGATAGCTTCTTTCTTGGCTTCTGCAGCCGAGCAATGGCAGCCGGGGGACCGGAAGCAATGCAAACAGCGATCTCGGCGCCTCACCAGTGACGTGCAAGTGAGGAGGGGCGGGGGCGGGCAGGGGGAATGCCTCAACCAGCACAGAAGGTACCGCACATCACTGTTCTAGCCCCATTCAGCGGGGAGGAGAACAGCGAGCGGATATTCACCAGCCCCTGAAATGATCTGGCGGCGGAATCGATTCCAGTGTAACGCCAACAGTCGGCTTTACACATGTAAACAGAGTATAGCCACCTGGAGTCTGTTTAAAGGGGCCACTGCCAGTGAGGTGAAAGGGTTAAAAGGATTCTGTGGTCAAATACTAGTGATCAATCTGTATTTCTATATTGAATCTCCATAAGCTTTGATCCCGATCCTAATATCCATATACAACTAGAGGTTTGTAAACTGATGATGTCCATAGGATGCATTGACACCATTTCACTCAGCCCTGTGAATGTGAACTTCCTGGTGTCACCACTCTATCAGAGCCGGCCTTCTGAACTTTAACGCAGAGTCTGAACAATGTCACATTATCATTGCTTGCTGGAGGCAATGCATGCTGGGATATGTACTGTTGAGAAATTGAGATTGCATCGCATCAGGCAGCAGGGAGAGAGACGCAAAGCACACTGGGAATCCTGGAAGTGATGGGCAGATGGACGGCAGCGCTCACTGCATGAAAGGGATTTTTCCAGTGAGCTGTGATTGCATCATCAGAGACGACTCCAGTATGTATTCCTTATCCTTTCCTTAAGGGAAAAAAAGTGTGAGGTCCCCCCCCCAATTGATATCAGACCCTTTAGGTCCCCCTCCCCCAATTGATATCAGACCCTTTAGGCCCCTCCCAAGCTAAAAAATAAATAAAAAGAAGGAAAAGAAGGCAGCCGAGTTAATAACCGAGCCAAAGCGAAGTGAGCCTATTCTACTATTCACTCCGGCTCAGTGTGGCTGATTTCAGTCCTACACCGGCTGCCTTCGGCCAGCAGAACATTCAGCTGAGCCAAAGTGCAGAGGGACTTGGAGTCAGCCGATCCAACGTCTGGATCGGCTGAGCCGAAGTTCCGCCAGCTCACTCGCTGCTGTTCTCCCCTATTCTCATATATTCTCATAGAGGCCGAACGGCAGCGAGTGAATAGCCGTAGGCCGCCAAGCAGCATTCGGCTCGACTATTCTGCTCGATACCTCTGAGCTACCGAGCGGAATAGAAAATAATTTTTAAAAAAAAATTATCGTAAAAATGTTGAAAAATAGGAGAATTTAAAAAAATCCGAATCCCGAACTGAATTGACTTTTGGACCCGAATCCTGGAAAATGAAATAAGGAAAAATTTGAATGATAACAAAATGAACTTTTTGCCAGCGCGCGTGTCTAGCGCCTTTGACCGGTGCGTGTGATTGGAAAGGGAGCAAGGAGTTCCAGAGGTGAAGGGATCAGTGGGGTGCAGGGAGGGCGCACAGACGCATACATTACAAAAATACATTTATTATAATACAAACCAGCATTGCACCCAGAAGGGAAGCAGGAAAAACTTATTTCGGAGCAGCCTGAGGGCCCACCTACACACATCGTGGTAACACGCACATCACCACAACATGAAACACGTGTTACTGCATTGCAATGCAATTCGTTTTGTCCAACGCTGAGGCCGGTCACCCGTGTTGCTATACAGAAAAGATTTCCGCCATGTCAGGGGGTGCGCTGGCATCTCATTTCAATGGGCTTCTAACGCAATGCATGTTGATGAGCCACAAAAAAAAATGTCATGGGCCCTAAAGGTCCAGCAGTAAGAGCCCACTCTCCGGGGCCAGCTGCAGGGATGGGGATTCGATCTCACGGCCTCAGACGGAGACTAAAGGATCCGCTTCATGAGCGGCATTGGGCAAAGAGAGCGCATGCTGGCCAATGTCACTGTGGCGGGGGAACGCCGTGATCTAAACTTCCATTTTCATCAGCGGAAAATAAAACATGGAAGTTTAGATCAAAGCCTCTACCGCCTAAAACATAAACAACCCCATGAAGGTCTTCCGGGGTTCACCATGGACACCATTGCGTCCCCTTTAATGCCATGAGAAAGGTTTCACAAATGATGTAATCATTAGACATATTGGATTTATTTATATATGGATTACCCTCCCCCTCCCACCCCGAGAACTGGATATTTATACCATTCTGTGAAATCATT